GCATGATGCAATACTAAGTTTTCATTGTATCGTGTCTCGCGTGTATTGTTTGGCACATGAGTATAATTAATATTGCATTCTATTGATCATTTTTGTGTGATATATCTGTATTATTAAATGTCAAACATGTTACAATGGTTTTTCTATCAATATATAATTAAATCCATTTTTCATATCCAACTGAATTTTTGACAAATTCACAATCGAACAGACAATTAGCTTTAGACCAGAATTATTCTCCGAGAAAGTGAAAGAGAAAGAGAGAGAGACAGAAAGAGGGTGAGTGGGAGGGAAAAAATGAAAAACCCCAACGCGCGAGACTCGTATTTTTCCCTCCTCTTTCCCTTCCTTCCATCTTGTAGTTTTCGTTGAACTTTACGTTTGTTCATGCTATTCACGTTCGTGTATCATAACGCGTTTGTAATGCGAAGATTTCGCACCTGCAGGGAAGCGAGAATGAGGGAGTTTTCGGTGGGTGAACGGATACTCGCGACGTGGGCGGATGGCAAAAAGTATCCAGCCAAAGTGAGCGCGATCTTGACGAATGGTAAGCGACCTAACCTAACCCGTTAATAGGGAACGGAAAAGGCTAGACTGCGTTCCCATAGATCGCCGTTTTGACATTTGCTCTTCAGAGAGGAGCCTATAGATGTAACATTTTTTTTATCTCGATGGAACAGAGGTAATTCCAAATAAATCTTTCTTGCAGACAGATACAACGTGCTGTTCGACGATGGATACGCGAAGATCGTTAAGTCGTCGAAAATGACCAAGATTGCCGCGAATTCGACCAAGGTACTGTCTCAATTTGAGGTTATGTTGTTGTTTCCTAGTATCTGCAAGATATCTCACCCGAATTGATAGAATCTAACATTTACACTGAATCTAAATATTATCTTGCAATAATTTTTAAATGCTAGCTACTTCAACAAGCTATGAAAATGTAGAAAGAAATTCTGTGGCAAATATTTGGAACAAGCTGTGTTACAAAATGAAAGTTTTTAATTGAGAGTTTTATATGCATTTCATATGATTTACTACGCTGCATTCTATTGATGTTTGTAAATTAATTTTTTGTTTTATATACACAATAGCAATTAAGTGAATTGGATAGCTACATTGGCAGCAAACAAGAGAGAAGGGATAAGAAACGAAAGCATACAGTTATGGAGTTGTTTAATACCCATTCGAGAAGACGCACGAAACACGACGCCGATAAGGCATCAAAAAAGGAGGAAACTATCATCAAGGAAAATGGAGAAAGTTCGATAGAGAAAATCGAGCTGGATGGTACTCTATATGGTCCGTGTTATGATCCAGGCACAGATTTGTTAAAAGGTTTTGAAACTAACCCCTCAAAAATTAAATCATATTCGAAGAAAAATAAAAGGAAATACTCAAAAATGACACAGAAAATTATCAAGAAGAAAATGTTGGTCCTGAGTGGATCGATGGAGAACCACAAGGAACTGAATCTTATATTGTAGATGGTAATGATGGTGAGTTACAACAAAATCATCGTTTAATGATGATATTACAATTAGATTTAATTTTCTGAAAGAAGCTATCTAACTTTGACTTCTTTGTAGCGTTATTTCAATTATGGAAAAAGATAATGCTTCCTAATTTGATCTCTACTTTGAAAATCTTATTTTTATCACAATGGATTTCATTTAAAATTTATAATATTCTACATATAAAATGATTTGATTTCCAGAATTAAATCTTGATTTTTTTGATTGGCAAATAGTTACTCTGATATTCAATTATCCAGTATTCCTTATAATATAAATATAATCTAAATGAAAATATTTTTTATGTCAAATGCGTTGCGGTAATATTTTAGTGTAATATAAAAATTTGTATTCTAGGACCGCGTCGATCTATAATAGTACCAGACAAGAGGCTACCTCCTGGTTGGGAAAAACATTTTACACAGAGAAAAGCTGGCACATCTGCTGGAAAGTGGGATGTTTTATTCATACAGTAAGAAGAAAGATATATTTTATTTGCAGTGATTATTAAATAATAATTTATATAATTATTTATATAATTATATAATTATTTATATAATTATTTTTTCTTCAAAGTAAACAGACTGGAAAGAAATTCAGATCGAGAAATGATATTAGAATATTTATGGAGAATCAAGGACAATTTGATTTTGATCCTGAAAAATTCGACTTTTGTATACATCGCAGAAAACGGAACCATGCACATCGTGTGAAACAGGAAATTACGCCAGAAGTACCAAAGAAGATTAAAACTTTATTGCCTAAAACGAAAACGTCTATATCTGAGAGTACTACATTATTTACTACAGTGACAAGCAATGTTGAAACTTCACCTATTGTCTCGACGCCTACTACATCTACCACGGATGGTGGTAAGGTTCTGCAATATATTATATTTTAATTCGTATTACATTTTAATCATTGCAATATATTTTTTCATTTCACTGATTCACCAGAGATGATTTATTGTAAGTACTCGTAAATATTGTATGTTTACAAAATTAAACTCTATAAGTGAAAATGAAAAAATCAAGAGAAATACAGACTTGTATTGTCGCTTAGACTTATCTGAAAGTGAATTAATTTTTTTATTCTGTTTATTATTGTAATTAAGTAGATTCTAACAAGTTTTTTTTTAATATTGTTATGATAAAAGTAATTTTATAAATGCCTTATAATACAATCAATACTGATATGATATTTTTTTAAATAGCCGTATTTATTGGACTTCGTGGTGGACTTCGTGTAGAAATGGAGGACAGCGCTTACAAATGTCCCAAGGAAGGTTGTAATAAAAATTTCCGAAAAGAAAATCTGTTGCAAATGCATATCAAGCATTATCATCCTGAATATTCCAAATTTTTGGGCTCCACTCCAAAAGTTGAAGACTTGGCTTACGCAAGAACGATCGGAGAATCTGTAGAAGATATAATCCCCAAAAAATCGTCGACATTCTTAGAGAAAATAAATAAATCCGTGAAAAAGAAATCCCTTTCTGAAAAATCGCCATCTACTTTATTACAATCAACATTGAATACTATGCCTCCGACATCTCCATCAGTATCTGGTCCAGTGATGACAGAAGAAGAAGAAATGGAGCAATTAGAGAAGTGTAATGATTTGCAAAAAGAGGATATGAAAATTGAAACAATGTCACCAATATCTAATCACAGTATGGAGATAGACGACGATATTGATAAGAAAAGAGAAAATGCCTGCGCATTGTCCCCTGGTACATTATTTGACATGAAAGTAAAAGAAGAAAAAGCGCAAGGTGGCATTAAAACGTTATTGCCTATAAGACCAGTGACAACAACGGAAACACAAAGAACTGATAAGGCAAAACCTTTAGATGAAATGGCGCATGGTGAGCGTGCAAAAGGCCAAAAAAGAAAACAACCTATCGAACATAATATGGACTCGTCGGCTAAAGCAAAGAAACGTCATGGTAGAAGTTTTTATATTTATCAAAAAATTTGCATTTTAAGATAAGTTTTATTTTTTTAATTTTTTTAATTTACAAAAGAATATACATAACATTTAATATTTCTTTGGATAGGTACGTCAGATCTTACTGATACTTTCGGTGATCTAGACGACAGTGCGATGGATGCCGAAGGGCCTACGGCGCTTATGTATAGATATAGTCGTAGAAAATCTGACTCAAAGAGCGACGAAAATAGCCAGAATAGTAAGTGCGAGTGTTTGCCATATGTTACAAAGTGATACATTATGAAAACAATTGTTTCATTTTAGATATGCTTTTTTTCTTAATTTAATGCAACTATATATGATACACGCACACATGGAATTTTTTAAAACAAAATATGTTAGATGATATTTACTGTTATATTATTTCTGTTGTTTCTTAGGTCAACTAAATGATTCTCGCATTGAAAAAGGTGATCCCTTAAAAGGGGATGCAATCAAAACAGATATTAATAATGATGCAGAAGGTACATTATTTTTTTTTTTAATCTTTTATTAACTTTGTTTCATTATTTCACATCCTGCCGATTTTATTTCCTTTATGTTACATTTTATTTTATATACTCGTAAGAAATGTACACACATCTGATATATACCTTTCACACCACATGTTTATCTTTATACATTGTAAGTTTTTCTTATAAATCTTATACGAATATTGATGATTTATAACAGAAAGCGAAGGAGTGATGATGATGATTAATGGCGAACTGGTAAAAGTAGAACAACTTCGGAGAGAAGAAATAATAAATTGCACGTGTGGCTTTATGGAAGAGGATGGTTTAATGATACAGTGTGATCTTTGTCTCTGCTGGCAACATGGTCATTGTAATGCAATCGAAAGAGAAAAGGATGTTCCTGAAAAATACATTTGTTATATATGCCAACATCCGTATCGACAACGGCCATCTAAAAAATATTTTCACGATCAGGACTGGATTAAGGAAGGAAAATTGCCAAGGTAATTTATCTACATTGATATTTAGATTATATTTGATTATAATTGTGTATAATCTTTTGTTTGTATTATTTATCACTCTTTCAATCTTTCACAGTTTGTCTAATCGAACTCGGAATCAATATATAATAAATCAAAGGACTGCAATGTTGAAACGTTCTTATGACTTAGTTGCTGCGCTTTTACAAATACAACAACTTCTTCATAGTATGCGCGTAAAAATCAACGTGGCACAGTAAGTTATATATCTTATTTAAGAAAATATATGTCTACATTATAGCAACTAACGTGCTTAAATATATACAGAAAGAAAGATCATCCTAAATTATATCTTTGGGCTAAAAATTGGGAAGAAATGGCTGTACCAAAGATAAATGTGGAACCAGTACCAGTAATGGAGATAACTAAAACAGCAAGTTTTACCGATACTAGTTCAGAGATTTCACGTCGTATTGAAACAAAAACAGATACCAAATTATCTATAAAAGACGATCAAGATGAAAAATCAATTGCTTCCGATTCCGAATTGATGAAAATTTTAGAGGAGGATAGTACACATTCTGATGAATCCAAGATTGTTAATAAAAAAGAAGTTTTGATGAATTCGAAGGACAGTCATATACTTTTAGATGCTTTAACAAGTGATAATTCAGATATAAAAGAAAAGAATATTGCTGCATCAGATGTTAAAACGGAGAGCGCAGGTAATATAATATAGTAAAATAAAAAAAAAGTTAGTTTTTAATAAATGGAATTGAATCTTTGATATAAAAAGAAAAACAAGTGCGCGTCTTTAATATTTATTTTTTTTTACCCATGTGAAGACAAGCAAAATTATTTGTTTTGACAAGCTAATATAAATAGATCAAAATAGATAAAAAGAGATTAATTTTTATATTATTTGAATAGTAGTGTATTAATTTTATTAGAATTATTTGATAATGATGAAAAAGATTAATTTTAATCAATAAAGATCCTGTCTTAAAAATAAAAATAAGCATTTGTAAACACAAATTACGACATCGCGATGATGTCACCACGTATTCTATAAGTGCTTGTCAAAATCCAAGTGAATGGATTAAACAATGTTTACACGTGCATGAGCATCCAAAGCAAATACATCTAATATTTCTCATATCATAGATTTATTAACTGAGAAAAATAATATTATTGATTATTCTACATCTGAGAATCTCAATTCTGGATCGCTTAATGCCCAACAAGAACAAAAAATGAACGTCGAAAACGAAGTCTCCACACTTCCGCAACCTTTTATACCAGAGCCTGAGGCACCAATTGATCCAGCTGAATGCCGAATGCGATTATTAGAGCATATTGAACATTTTCAATGTCATATCGAATCAAGATTAACATCTATAGAAGCACAAATTTTTGGTATATATTTAAAAAAGAGAAACACATATCAAGACACATTTAGCATATTTATTATATGTCTTTTATATGTGCAGCTTTAGAGGCGATGGATCCAGATGAACTTGTATCAGATCCGCAAATTCAACCTCGTACCAAGCAGACGGTTCAAATGCTTCTTCGTGACTTGAATACAGTTCGGAAACTGGCAGCACTGTGTTGAAGATGTCATCAAACTGTTGAAAACAAAGCTGTCAGATGTGAAAAACTTACAGCATGCCACACAAGCGAGCACACGTATACTACGTGTGCTCGCTTGGTATGTTGTAAGCTTTTCAAATCTGACAGCTCTGGTTGAAAATATAAATTATATATATATCTTTATATATATTTAGATATGTATAGATAGATATATAAGAATAAATATAGACACAAGTGATATTTCTTATATTGCATCACCAATGGAATAGTTATTTCATCTTAAATAGGAATCAAATTTAATGATTTACAATGAGGCTATTAAATAAGCCTATTTAATTTTTCATGTTTATTTTTATTAAAATTATAACATTTAAAAATCAAGTAAAAAAGATATTTTTATCTAAAAATATACATATGTAATATGCATTTCTAACAAGGAGTGATAATATAATTTGGGCTTAGGCATTTTTATATTTGTTAACACAATTAAAAAAATTTAAATAAAAGGTAAAATCTATCATTAATATATATAAATATGGTTTTAATTTTACATTAAATTTTAGAATTTGTAAACAAATATACATATATATATATATTGTAAATTGTATATTGTTTTTCAAAACAATTATATATTTTTTCCTTACGATTGATTTACCTCATTATTCTGTACATAAAAATTATTAATATAAAATAACTGAAAAATAAATATCAAAATATTTCATATTTTATGTTCCAGTATTTCAGATACATAAAATAATCTCCTAAACTCCTAATAAATTTTTTTTGGTCACAAAAACTTAAATTACAATTTTATTTTAATAG